AGAAGAGATTTATTTCTTCTAAGTTGTCAAAGTTATTAGTGCAAATTTTCGAATCTACCTTTATGATCCTTCAAACGGATGCAGCATCCCTTGTCTCATTCCTGTTATTGGGGATTTGGTCTTTCTTTTTATCTTTGCCAGTCTTGCTAGAGGCTTACCTGTTTTATCGATTAAAATATTTTTTGTTTATTTTGACACAATGTAATTTTACATATTTATGGAGTACAATTTGACATTTTGATAAATATGTTGTATTATGATCCAATCAGTGTAGTGTATCCATCATTTCATGCATTTATGACTTCTCTGTGGTAAGAATATTCAAAAGCCTCTATTCTTGCTATTTTGTAATATACAGTGTTTTACCATTAACCACAGTCACCCTACTGTGCAATAGAACCCCAGAGTTTATTCCTCCTATCTAATTGTAACTTTGTGCCTGTTGACCATCTCCAGTTTCTGGTAACCTGCTGTTCTGCTCTCTGGTTCTACCATATAAACTTTAATAGCTTTTCTTGTTTCAACTATTTTCTCTGTTGTTATCCTGTTAATTTAATTGATTTGTTATCTCTGTTATTTCCTTCTTTCTGCTGCCTTAGGTTTGCTTTGCTCTTGATCTTTCAGTTTCTTGAGGTAGGAACTTAATTATTGATTTGAGACTATTCCTCTTTTCTAATATAAGCAGTCAGAGCTCTAACTTTCCCTGTCAGCATTCTTTAGCTATGTCTTATATATTATGATAAGTTGTATTTTTATTCAGGCCTATGTTTAATTTTTTTCCCCTTTGAGACATATTCCTTGACTTAGGCATTATTCAGAACTGTTTCATTTAGTCCCAAATGTTTAGAGATCCTCCTGTTGTCTGTTATTTTTAGTTTGGTTCCATTGTGGACAGAGAATATACTCTATACGAATTCAGTCTTGAAAATTTGGTTAGGTTTCTTTTATGGCCTAGTATGTAGTCATTATTTGTGAATGTTCTGTGGATATTTAAAGAAAAAATGTATTCTGCTATTGTTGGATGGAATTATTTGACAAGTATTTTAAAGCAGTCACCATAAAAATACTTCAGGAAGCATTTAGTTAAATGTGTGCAAAAAAAGTCTCAGCAAAGAAATAGTCTCAGCAAAAACTAGAAGATATTTTCAAAGAAGTGCAAATAGAAATTTTATAACTGAAAAATCAAATTACTGAAATAACTCCCTGGGTAGAATCAACTGCAGCACTTTTGAGTTGCAGGCTTCTCTAGCACTCAGATCATGCAGTCTCCACTGTCACTACAAGATATATGAGGCAGAAACAAAAATATAAAAATAAAAACACCAAGGGTATTCACCTCTGGGTCTTCCTCTGCATCCTGAGGGTCCTAAATGCCTTTTTCCCTCCAACTTGCAGTGTCTTCTTGTTTGTTTTATATATAATGCCTAAGGGTTTTAGCTGTATTTAGTGGGAGAAATTAGGAGAAGTGTATCTGCTCCATCTTGTCAGGAACTGGATGCCCATACATTATTTTTCATTTGTTCATTGGTCAACTGGCCTACATCTCTTACAATGTAGATTCTTTGTGAAAACTAGAAATTTTGCATGTTTTGTTTTCCACTTTAATAACAATACCTACATTTTCTGGCATGTAAGTATTTGTTGAATGAGTAAATCAGGTAATTCAGATTGGGTAGCTGCTGAAATGATAGGAATTTTTGTTATGTGGCTGATAAATTGTTATTATAGACATACATCAGATAATGAGAGTGACTGAACTTGGCCAGTTACGCTTTTCTAGAGTTAATAAGAAACAGGAAAGTAAGTTAAAGATATTAAATAATTACATATATTTTATTTTATTTTATTATTATTTTTTTGAGACAGAATCTCACTCTTGTCACCCAGGTTGGAGTGCAGGGGCTTGATCTTGGCTCACTGCAACCTCCGCCTCCTGGGCTCAAGTGATTCTCCTGCCTTAGCCTCCAAAGTAGCTGGGATTACAAGCCCTCACCACCATGGCTGACTAATTTTTGTATTTTTAGTAGAGATGGGGTTTCACCATGTTGGCCAGGCTGGTCTTGAACTCCTAACCTCAGGTGATCTGCCTGCCTTGGCCTCCCAAAGTGCTGGGATTACAGGCATGAGCCACTGTGCCCAGCCTTAATGATATTTTAACAGGCACCACAATATTTCAAAAATAGGCGTAGAGGAAGAGTAACCTCAGTCCGCTGTGGTTAAACATGGTGTTGGGAACTCTTCTACATTTCTGAAGACTGTTTATATCTTTAAGTGGACTAACTTGTACAGAATTCTCATGGAGAAGAAAAGGTACAAAACTCAGTTTATTTGGCAGGACAGAGAGTATTATGTAGATTATCTTTACTATGTTAATAATGATTGCACACTGGAAACAAAAACACAGTTAGAATATCTAACATAAAATTAGACTAAGTGCTATTAGAATCTTTCAGTGTTACCTTCATAAAGTAGGAGTTCGTAGAAATCGGATAGGCCGAATTACAGAAAATAAGTGGCCATAGTTTAACTGCAATTGAAGTAGATTGTCGAGTATGAGTCGGATATTGGGTGATGTGTGAGAAGCAAAATGCGGGCTTTAAGAATAGAGAAATTCGGGTAGCCCATGATAAAGAAAATTAAAGAGCAAGTAGGGAAATGACAGGCCAAGTAAACTGTAAATATTTCACACTCCTGTAGTGCAGAGATTAGCCGGGCAACAGAGCCTGGGTAGACTTAGCTGGCAAGAGGGTTATGCGAGAAGGAGGGGTGTTGGGCTCTACGCGGATTGGTGG